AATGTAGAAGCTTCAAGCTTTCTAGCATTGTGATGTCCCCTTTCCTTTCAGTCACAATTTTAATAGCTATTTTAATGGCTTAAAGAAAGATTATTGAAGGACATCTTATGCTTCACACATGTACACATACAAAGGTATATGTCTTTAAATAACCATGGCTGTATTTCATATCTATAAAGGTAATCTAATTTGACATAAAATATTTATCATAAAAAAGAAAACAAATCAGATAGTGACTTCTATTCTGGTATCTCTACCACTGACCATTTATCTGTCAGCAGTCAAATTGACAGCATAACGCATAAACTGAAAAAATAATTTGTATGCTTGTATCTTGTTAAGCCAAGCAAACCACCTGTTCAAATAAGTAGGTCCTATTATAAACCAGATGTTTGTTCTGCCAAAAGGAAATGGAGGACGTAGAAGGTAACAAACCATTGCTATCTAACCTTTAGTCTTTGTCTAAACATGCAAATTATAAATACCCCACACAAATACACACATCACAACACTTCTAAAAATGGCACTGTTTCACAGTTTTGCTGTTAAGTATGACCTTCATCAGTTTTCTCCCATTTTAGTCATTGGTGTTGTTCTAGAAGTGCACCAAGCAAACAGAAACCAGAACACTGAGCTTGTAACAAAGCAACTGGGCTCTATCTCCACACACAGCTTGTATCCCCGATGTTTGCACTGTGTCTACACACTGCATTTTACAAAACCATATCTTGATGCACAAACTGAAAACGCCCCTTCTGTTAAGGAAAGGTTAGAAATCAAACTGCGACAGTGCAGCTACAATAAAGCAAGACACATTTTAGCCAGGAGAAAGTGTTTCTTCTCTGCATAAGTATGTGATAATATTAATGATCAACACTGACAATATCTTTTCATGCACTTACACAACCTTTTAATCTAAAAAAGTTGAATATGCTTATAGTAAGAGCACACCTTCATTATCTGTATTCCTACAGGCAGCCATTAAACCTACTCATTCTATTTTTATTTTCCTTACATGGCAAAGTTGGCACAGAAAACACTTCAAGATCTCCCCCTGGAAAGCTTTTGATTTTGGCCTGAGCTCATAAGACTGTTAAACACTTCTGAGAGTCCCACCATCTTCAAATCCATCAGCATGTTACAAGGAAGTGATTCTCTCTTTCTCTAGAGTACAAAGAGCATCAGTACCTTGTACCAGTAGAAACATAAGTATATCCATAAAAATACACATAAACTATTCTAGACACATTATCAAACCTATCCAGCTCTGAGGAATCATTAATAATTGAACTGCAAAAGTACCATAAATGGAGGCCATTGTGCTTTACGATAAGATTGCAGTTGTATATTATGCCTCTTCTAGCACAAATTAATTTATATTCTGAATTTTGAGAAACCTCCAAGTCAAAATACAGATTCTGATGTGTTATAAGGACGTACAAATAAACCACTAGTTACCCTGTTTGTAGTAAAGAGAAACACATTTTTCCAAAACTAAATTACATGTATGAAATTCAAAGTAAATACCTACCCAATATTAGAAAACATCAAATTTTAGTCCCTGAACTGCCACTGACCCAATGAAACAAGATGGGTTAAATTTGTTGGGGCTTGTTTTTTTGACGATTGTTTTCTTGGGGTTTTTTGCAGGTTCAGTTTGTTCCTTTTCTTGTTTTGATTTCCCCCTTCCTTTCTTCTGCTATTCCAGCATTAAAAAAGTGAAATGGCTAATAGAACACACCTACTTAATCAAGCCCCTGGAATTCTAAGGAACACTCACAAAGCATCATATGCACCTAAAATTACTGAATTTTCCAAAAGCAAGAAGGAACTTCTGGGATGGGGAATCAACCTACTGTCATAGGAGAGCTTTCCTCTTAGCAATTATAACTTTCCTCAGGTTCTGATTGACCAAGCACTACCTCTCTCATCAAGACAAGCTCTTTACATTGTTATCAAATTTTATAGACCATCATTTAAATTCCTTTTTATTGAACACAATATTTATTAACATCTTTTAGAGATACAAACCAAAACATCACAACTAACAAGGCTGTTGTAAGAAGAGCATTTAAGCTCAGTTTCTCAATGTGTAGTGTCAGTATGGGACAATCACCTAACTTGGATGCCCAGTTAAGACTCCTGCTACTTTCTTTTTATTAGCATGAGGCATGTAATGATGGTATCCAACAACAGTATACAAACCATGTTGCCCACCCAAACTAACGATACAGGGGACTCATGTCAATTTTTGCCATGGATGGGCAAATCCAGTGTTGGCCTCATAAAATAACTCACAAGAGACAACTGTACAGAATAGTCTTTCTTCAAGTTATATTCCCAAAGAATAATCCCGGGAGAGCTTTATTCTCTTATCCTTACAGTAAATTACTTTTCTCAACTCAGAGATTTAAGATTTCATTGCTTTTTAAGTTAGCAATGAAAGATTTAATCACAGATTTGTTAGATTTAGCCACAGAACATAGGTTTTCCAGAACCTTCAAAGCTCCAGCAGGAGTCACAGTAGAAGTTCACAACTACAACTACAACTGAAAAACTTCTGGATTTTCCTCCCAATAATAACTCACAGTTTGAGTTTACCAATAAAGAAATCTATCACTGTGTCCCCAACGCCATCTGGGAGATCAGGTTTTTGGGAGAGAAAAATGGAGCAGCAATTGCCTAGCAGCACAGGAAATCAATGACTTCCCCACACAGGGGTGAGCAACAGGCTGCTCCTGCTCAGTACAGAATCATTCATTTCCCTTTCTGCCAGCAAAGCTGCTTCGTACACGCCACAGGCAAAGTCTCCATCACACTTGCAGAACACACACACCTTCTCCTAAACCCCAACATTACCAGTAGGGTTAGACAGTAAGTTACACAATTGTGCATATATATCCAAAAAGGGAAAGGGTGTGGAGACAGTAGTCTATTGGGAGAGCTTCTAGACACACTGGTTTCAGGCTATGAGGTACGTAACAAGTGTCCCAGTACACCACTGATTTAAGCTCATCTCAAAGTCCATGAGTTGACAAAGGATTTAACTGAACTATGCCAACATCAGGGCCAAGAAAACTTGGTCTTCACTTTCTCCTCAGTAGTAGGATAGCACTATATACTTGTAGGAATTAAGAGTTCTAAAAAAGGTGTAAAGGTATTTTTCTGTTGTTTTAATCAAAAACATTAAAGGGGAGTTTAAAATATAAAAAGATATAAGTGAGCACATTATCCAGGAGACAATAGGCCACACATACATCTTTTCAGGCTGCACTTTATCATAGCTAAACCACAAGTGTATTTATATATACAATACAAAACATATATGCATCCCTTTTTTATTGAGAGAGTTTGCAGGAACCTGAATAGTCATTCAAAATCTTCTGTCAGTGTCAAAGCAGAGACCACCACTGATCTCTGAAGCTTTAAAAACCCAACTCCTTCCCCAGATTTACTAGCCTTAGTGTTTCCTGGAGCATGAGGCAAGGTAAGGAAGGATAGGAGTTGAAATTTTCCCCCAACAAACACTTGACCTTTGCTGCAGACAAAAAGAATTCCACATTCACATTTTGCTCCAGGTCAAAGTTCCCAACAAAGTCACAGTAATGGGATCATTACAGGCATGTATGGAGTCATCGAGAACTGTACTACTGTCTGTAACTAGTGTCAGAGGCTACTGACACAAAACAGCAGACAGAAGGGACTTCTGGTCAAGCCATACTTGGCCTCAGTTTGAACCAGTGCTCCAAATAAGCAGCTTGTCCATTAAACAGCCCTCTCTGAGATCAGAGGGTACTGCTGTAGCTGTTTCCAGAGCTATGCCTGGATATGTTAGGACATATCCAGATATGTTAGGACATCACCAGATCTAGCTGAGAATTTATTTGTATCAAGCATGTTTGGCAGCATTTCCCAATAGCTACACTGTTTGCTGCATGTCTGTGAATCACTGAACCTAGAGTCCACAAAACGCAGCTATATTACAGAATAAATACCATGGTCTCTAGCAGATTCTAGCTTCTGAGGAAGACTGTTCGTTCATCTTTGTACCCACATTTTACACCTCTATAATTTCTTCAGTTTAGTAAGTTAAATCTGTAAATGCAAATATCTGCTTTATTTCTCTAGAGTCACCATTGCTCTAAATCAATTCAGGTCATGCTGAAATTAGCCTTGCCCTTCACCAGGTTAACAGCCTCTCCAGTTTTGCTATAATTAATACATGTACACAGACAAATTACAAATAAAGTGAAAGACAAAATAGAAGTAGGATTACTTTGTAATATTCTTTTCATGTCCCTCAATCCCCAAGTTCAATCAGAAGCCTCCTAAGAATCGCACTGTACTGCAATTTAATAAGTCAGCAAAAAAGAGACATTGCTAGAAAGTACTTAATAGAAGAAATAACATGTAACCTACATGAGATTCTTCAATAAATGTGAGCATCACACATAACCCTACCTGTTTTCCTGAAAAAGGGAAAAAAGCTCACTCATTTTCTAAGCTTGACCCTTCTTCATTGTCCATTCTAGATGCAAAAAGATTCATCATTTAGTCACTCTGGACAGCAACAGGCCTGCATTTATCACGGTTGAATGTGTCCTCACTGTTCGTTCTTACAGCTTATGGAAAGCCAAGTACTATGACTCATAAAACTGCTGTAAGAAAAAGCTGAAACAAGTTAACAGAATGAGTGTCTTTAAAGTGACATCCTTCATCCTACATTTCCGGCATGCAGAGCCAAAAACACATCACACTTTCAACTGACAGATTTAGAACTATTATTTGTCATAAATGGTAAGACCTTCACTGAGGCCAAGTAATGATTCATGATATTCCTGAACTGCTCACAGATCTTAAGTACACTTTAAGCAGTAGAAGGTCTGATTCTATGTTCCAGAAAAAGGGGTGGTTTTTTTTACTAATGTACCATTCTTTTCTTTTTGGAAAATTATATTTTCCATGGCCATGCTGAGAATGGCCATCATGAAAATTCTTACCTGTTTTCCATCTAGTGTGTATAAGCGTTTAACCACTCCTGAATCCAGCTTGATGGCATCAGTTATATCAGTAAGAACCTGTTCAAACGAATGTGCTGTCTTCTTGTTGAGCAGAATCCGGACTGCTTTCCGTGGCTTCACTCCACTCCTGATGATAGTGACTAGTTTAGGCCTAATGAAATCCTTATTCTCTTTTGCATCTGGAGCACCTCCTTTAGCAGTGGCAAGAGATGGCACTGAACGAGAAGTAGAAGTTGTCTTAACATTCACTGACCAGTTTGGGTTTACATTCTTTGTGTACTCCAGTTTCTTGAAGGGTTCTATGGAACCACATACATAACTTTCTCCTGTGGAAACAAAAGTGAAAGACCAGCAAGTCAGACTAGAGAGGAAGGGGGAAAAAAAAGAATGCAGAAAAATACAAAATCAAATCCTTCTCAAATTCTTAAACGTTATTCTTATTGCTCTTGATCTACAGCACATAAAGTATTGATCTCTTCCATTCTCAGATGCTATGGACTATAAAATATATTTTTAAGATCACTCTTCAGCTAACCATTCTAGAAATGCTGATATGAAAATCCTTGAAAGCAGCAGTTTTCTTTTCAGGAAACATCATTTGCAGTGAGGATCACTGCTGTCAGTAAACAGTGTTCATGTTTCCTCAGCTGCCCAGTATCACAGTACTCCTCCAGCCTTCACGCTTAAACAGCCCACCCCTAACAAAAGAGCAGGCCCCAAACACTTCAGAGGAAATAACATGAAACATTATCAAAAACAACAGACTCATAAAAAGGTTGATGAAAGTGTTATGGGAGATTTGTTAACATTTGATTATTTAAAGCTTTAAGCAGCATAAACTCGGGACATGTACAGGCAAGAAATCTCACTATTATTATATAATCTCACTATATTATCACTATCACTGACTCAATATGTAATATTGGGGGAAAGGAAGGCAAAGAATAGCAATTACAGACTTCTCATCACAACAAATTTACCACACTTAAAAGAAAAATAGTGGTTATTAGTTCCAAAAAGCACATAAGAACCAAAGATCTTCACAGAATCACAAGTTAGAAGGGACCCAGGAGGATCATTGAGTCCAACTCCTGGCCTTGCACAGGACTATCCCCAAGAGTCATATCATGTGCCAAAGAGTATCATCCAAACACTTCTTGAACACAGACAAGCTTGGTGCTGTAACCACTTCCCTGGGGAGCCTGTTCCAGTGCCCAACCACACTCTGGCTGAAGAACCTTTGCCTAATATCCAACCTAAACCTCCCCTGAAACAACATCAGGCCATTTCTTCAGATCCTGTCAGTGGTCAACACAGAGAAGAGATCGATGCCTGCCCTTCTTCTTCCCCTCATGAGGAAGTTGTAGACTGCAATGAGGTCTCCCCTCAGTCTTCTCTTCTTCAGGCTGAACAGACCAAGTGAGCTCAGCCTCTCTTCATACAGCTTCCCCTCAAGGCCCTTCACCATCTTCATTGCCCTCCTTTGGACGCTGTCCAACAGCTTAATATCTTTCTTCTATTGTGGTGCCCAAAACTGCACACAATATTCAAGGTGAGGCCACACCAGTGCAGAGCAGAGTGGGACAATCACCTCCTTTGACTGGTTGGTGATGCTTTGCCTGATGCCCCCCAGGACACGGTTGGCCCTCCTGGCTGCCAGGGCACTGCTGACTCAGATTCAACTTGCCATCGACCAGGACACCCAGGTCCCTTTCCACAGCACTGCTTTCCAGCATCTCATTCCCCAGTCTGTACGTACATCTGGGGTTGTACCAGCCCAGGTGCAGAATCCAGCACTTCCCCATGTTGAACTTCACATGGTTGGAGACTGCCCAGTCCTCTAATTTGTTGAGGTCTCTCTGCAGGGCCTCCCTGACTTCAAGGGAGTCAACAGTTCCTCCCAATTTTGTGTCATCTGTAAACTTGCTTAGTACCCCTTCCAGTTCTGCAAACAAGTAATTTATGAGGATGTCACCACAGTTAGAAATGGAGGCAGGGAACACTGGGACTTAAGGCTTGGATGCAACAAAGTTTGTTGGCACTGTGCTCAAAAGGTGAGACAATAACGCACTGTATAGTGATTACCAAAAAGACAGTGGAAGAAGTGCAAAAGAACAAAGAAGTCAGAACAACATGTGAAGATGGATCACTGAGCAGAAAAAATACAGGCAATGACAGCAAGATCAAAAAAGAATCATAAAATGATTTTTTGTTTTCCTTTTCTTTTTTTAAAAATTAACATTATTTTAAAGCAGAACAAGATACAGAGTGGAAGATAAAGTAAGGCACTCCAGTGCTTACTGCTCATGGTGTAAATCAAGCTAGTCTTCACTTTGCAGTAAAATTCAAAGCGTTAAAAAAAGAATCTAAGATGGAATGCTTATAGAACCTTATAAGAGATAAAGGTAAGCCTTTCCTTTTAGCCATTGTATTCATACACAAGATACATAGATGGATAGATAGATATGTATATAGTAACATCAGAACAGAAAGGCTTAGCTACAGTAATGAGTGATCAAACAGTGCATATTCTGTTCTATTATGTCCCTGTCCAATAGTTCTAGTACTAGCTACTCAATTACTGCCAAGTCAGAATGCACCCATAACACCACATCCATAAAATTAACAAGCTTTAAAAAACACTAATAGTATTTTGTAGAGGGAAAAAAAAGAAATCCTACTACGATTAAGACTGCACTCAATACAATAAATACCTTCCTATAAAATACTTTGCAGAAGTGTCTTTTATGAATATTTAAACAAAATTTGTCTCCACTTGTGCTTGCTGTAAAACATGAAATCCACCAGAAACATCTTATTTTATTTTTGAGGGGGTTTTCATGTTCAGTCCTATCAGAGAAATTGTTCAGTTTAGTTGCATGAAGTTATTTATTTAAAAACAAGTCTTTATATTAAAACTGACTCTCAAAGGGTAGGTGCATAAATAAATGGCCATGCACAGTGAACTCAGAAGATTTACTGCAGTTTATTAAGAATGCTTTTGGTTCCCCTTCTTGGAAGGGCAACATTCCACATTATGTTTAATATCAGCTATATTTAAAGGTCAGCTGGATTCCTTGTAGAATTTAACTGCACATCAGCAGCTCTTCATTACGTAACTAATTTTGTGTAAATGATCATAAAAAAAGATCAATACAATTGAACATCAGCATTTTTGCCCTTTCTTCATTTCCAATAGTACTATATTACATCAATAAAAAATTTACATGAAGATATTATTTTCCCTTCAAGAGTTTCATATTTAGTTACAGAACATCTTGGAGGTAGAGTATCCAAGGCCATTTAAGATGAAATATCTTTAGTAAGAGCTATTTTATATAGGTCAACAGAAATACAGACACTTCTCCCATAATGCTGTTATTTAAGACTGTTTTAGATGTTAGCCAGGGACTACAGTTCTCACGCATGCCATGCTGGTCCTAAGGGTCAGGCCTGTAAGAATAAAAACCTATGGTGTTTGTATGCAGGGGAAATCTCAGAGAAAAGACAAAAGGTCTTCACCTAGATTTTTGTCATCTCTTCTGTTTCACTAGCATCTTCAGGGGAGAAGACTGCAAAGAAGTTTCACAAGGGGCATGACTTACAAGTCCAATAAATCCGCCTTCTGCTTTAGTTATTGCTTCCTCATCATCAGTTTTGACTAACTGCAAGGAAGAAAGTAACAATCTCTAGACACCAGATTCATAACAGAACACATTGAAGAAGGATTCGTGGCAGATACTGGATTAAGCAAAAGGTACAGAAAATACAGCCCACTTAAGTGTCTATTTGTTTGCAGCTCCCCAAGAGAAGGGAGCAAGTCTTTCACAGTGGTGTAACTAATGAAATTTTGACTCTTGATTACAGCATCAATAGCCATTAGAAAAATAAAAGGGGAACATGCAGCTGTTTTAGGAGATCTGACATCTAGGAAAAAAAGTGACTACTAACTCTTGGAAGGTTTCCCTTTGCTGATAGCCTCTTAAAAGCAATAGCGCAAATGAAACACACACCCTCCAAAAAGATGCACAGAACTAAAGACACGCAACACTGAAGGATAGTTCTTATAGGTCATTACAGAATTTCAAGATGTGCTCCATTTATTAAATATGTAATTTTTAAAAATATTATCTGTGTACAAAGTGGTTGCTAAGGAGACATTGAATCACTGTGTATAAGTACTGGAGTGTTTCTGATGCAAGTGTTTCCCTCTTTGGCATATTGGTATTAGCAGTTAGTCTGTTTTCTTCAGCTTGCTGATATTCTCCCTGCAAGAGCGATCAAGGTATTGTCTCTTAAAATTATTGTATTGCTTTTCTGTGCTTAACATGATTTGGCCTAAAATGGCTTCATGAGGAAATCAGTTGATCTTAGGCAAAAACCCAACAAGGAAGAGAGAAACTGTTTGAATCATACAAGCAGAGAGGGAACAACCAACCCACTCTTTGTGGAGGCTTCAGGACCTGACAATTTACTGAAAATAGTGTTGATTCCTTGGAGTAGAGTACACAGTAGGAAAGGGAAGTTAATCAAAAGGCCCATCCAAGGTGGAGAAAATACAATACTTGCACACTTGGGTAGTGAGAATGTTCAGCAGTGATTTATTGGGGTCTGTTTCCCCAATGGATAGAGCAAGAAATATCTTAAGAGAACAGGGAAGGGACTAGCATCCCCAGCACTCCCTGCCTAGGCACACCTGCCTTTCTTCACTTCTACCCTTTGGTTTTGCACATACAAAAGGCAGAATCTCAACCTCTCAGGAGAAAGGACAAAGAATTCCGACTATCCCTCACCACACAGAGCAGATTGCAAAAGGAAGATGACCTGAATCAAAGAAGTTACTGATAGTCGGTAGTTCCCAAATGTGTTAGTTAATAGAACAATAACCTACTTTAACTACATTGCTGCTGCCTTGTCTTTCTGCAGAGTCTGAAAAAATGCAATAGTGTAAAAGAGATGGAGCATCTACAGGAAATAAATCCAATCTACAGATGTTCACGTAGCAATCAGATGCACCAGAAACTTTAAATCAGATCTCCTGTGACATTTTAAAGGACTTCTTTTGTACAACATTCTTTTTTCTCAGCTCAGACTGAAAACTCTTTTTCCCTCATCAAAAGCCAAGTAAAAAAATAAAGACATACTTTGCCCTCAAATTTCTGCTCCAAGCAAGATAGGCACTGTACAAAAAAAACCTGGAAAGTACCTAGAATAAGAAACACCATGGCCTTCCAAGAACTTGTTAGGGAAGACACAGTGTGAATCAACTAGCTAATGGATGAAGAAAATAATCAAATAAACAGTGCCAGAATAACCCTCTACTATTTTATGCAACAGGATTATTCAGCTGTTTGTTTATTAAACAATATAAGAATTGCAGGCATTGCTGCCTCAGGATGCAGTCCAAGTTTCACTAACTTTGATAGCCCTGGATCAAGTCCATGGTAAATATCCAGTGTAAATTTAATCCTTCAAACAAATGTCCACATTTCACAGAGATTCAGCTCTACAAACATTTAAACAGATACTTTACTATTATTATTTTGATAGCACATTGCATATGCATATGAATCTTTCCAGCCCATCAATTCCCAGCTGTTGACGTAGGCATGACTAAGAAGAAAGAGCATTAGCTGCAGAGGTCACAGAGACCATGTCAATCAATTCCTACAGTCTGGCCTGGCTGGGCTTCTCAACAACAACACTGGAGTGGTTGGTACAGTCAAGAAGGCAGCAGGAGCAGCAGCTAGGAGAGGGAAAAGCTCAGATAAAAGGAATGAGGTGACAGTAGGAGCAGCAAGACCCATATACAAAAAAAGTCAGGAACTCTGTTGTAGCCCACCCCTTTAGCAAGGAGACACTGCCTTTTGAACTCTCCACTGGTAGGCAGCTTCTCTGCTGCTCTGAACACAAACTGCCTGCCTCCATCACAAGAGCCTTCCTGCAGTCCTCATGTGACCCATCATCTCCTCTGCCCTGCAGCAAGGTTCACATCTCCCAAGAGTTATTAGCTAGTTACAGCTCTCACTGGATTTTAAAGCTGGTATATTCAGACTGCTACTTCGATGAGGATTGCAGCTCCAAGATAATCCCTGAGAAATATTTCGTTTCCTTTTTCAGATTATTCCTTAAAACTATTTTTGCCATTACGCCTATACAAAACATGCACATACAGATACAAGTTTTTAGAATCATTTGGGAGTGCACCCAGTATTGACATGTGACAACACTGTTTCCCAGTACACACTCAGTCTTGTGGTTTGGGTTTATTGGTTTGTCTTTGACTGCCAGTTCTCTGCTGCAGGGTTCAACTTTGTGGTAGGTATTGTGGAAACCTAAACCAATCGATTCTGGTCATAATCAAGACTCTGAGGTAATATTATAATAAAAAATAATGAGAAAGGGATGCAGGTCTGGCTAGGGATTGATTCTGTGGTCTTTGTTCCACAAAGCAGCACCCCAGGAGTAAAAACTGTAAATACTCTGTTTCAGAGCTTTTGTGCTCACTCCTTTGTACATTGTTCATTGGTAATTCTGGGAGTAAGACTTATGAGTCCACTTCTGTCTTCAGCTTTAATGATACACTTCTGAAGAAGCAAAAGGCCTTTAGTCCTTTCCTGAGACTTTCTTTACAGCTAGAAAATCTAGCTTTTAAGAGCAACTTTATTGTTTCTACATACTTTGGTTGCATGTCATATCTAGGGAATAAAGTCATGTCACACGTGGAAACCATTCTTTAAAGGTAAGAGGGTCCTAACATCAGGTCTGACAAAAGAAGGTAACCTGAATCCATTGCATTATTTCCTTCATCTACAGTGACAGAAGAAGGGAAGTTACAGAGCATGTGAAACTTTTTACAACAGCACATAACCCTTGTTATCAAATTCCCACGAATCTCACATGCCCTAAAACTAAAAACCCCCACAACCAGGGAAGTCATTAGTTTCAAATAAAGAGAAAATGTGTCCATACAGCTCAAAATAACCTACAGTACCAGCATACAGCCATGCCAGCTCTGAATTGTATGCAGAATGAAACTAAATATAACTGAAGCAAAACTGCTCCTTTACAATCTTTTTCCTTTGGGACTATCTTTCATATAGTTCTGTGTATTTAGCTCTGGGATGAAAGACACTGACTGCTGTCTCATTTCCCCCAGGAGCTAGTTGCTTCTCTGTCTTCACATACCGCATGGGAAGGTAAGAATATAGTAACTTCGTCACAGGCGTAAAGACAAAAAACCAACACCAAATCGAGGCTTTAGACATTTGCCTTTAAATGCAATCACTAAAACCAATGGTCCCACAATCACCTAAATTCACAAGTCTCATTAAATTACTTAATGAATTCATACAGTAAGGGAATAGTCTCACCATGAAAAAAGCAATGCTTCATATTTCAATAGTTGGAGCACAAATGTCATTTGGCAAGAGGCAAAAATCAAGTGATTTTCCAGTTATTTAAACACAAAGCACAGCTTCAAGCTAATTAATGCTGTACAGACTAGCCAAACTAATAAATTTGTGTAATAAAGAATGGAAGGGGCTTACACAAAAACCATCACTGAGTTAATAATATATTAATAATATATACACCTGTAGTGTGCACTGTGAAGGTCTACAAGTGAAACTACAAAATAAGCTACCTGCAGTTTTATACAAATAAACATAAATACCTTTTCAGATGGAATGATGATGTAGCTCTCTACTTGCACACAAAGACTGACTTCTGTAAATCCCACAGTGTTAATGGCACAAGAAAGTAAGACTGTCCAACTTGAACTATACCAGGAAGGGAAGATGTGTTCATTGAAGAGGTAAGGAATAAAGTCCCATAGGACTAAAAGAAATATCAAAGCCCTTCTTTAAAATAAACTCTTGCACTGTCACTCTTTTTGACTGACTGATTTATAACTGGTATTATTCTTCTCTAGGATGCCAAAATAAACCAATCTTACAGGTTGCTGAATTTATTTCTGCATTCAATTCTTTCTTTTCAAAAGCTGTCTCTCACTGGCTGCAAAAAGACTGCACAAATCACCGCTAACATCAATGAAACTTGCTTCTAGATGAGCACACCAATCAAATAAGAAAATGCACAAACACTGCTTTTAAACAGATGTTGATTAATATTGGTCTTTCCTCCCAGAAATTGATTTTCTCCACCAATTAAACACTGTCCTGACAAATACAGTTTTAAACTCTGCCCTCAAATTCATAACATTGCTCTTAAGACTGGTTTCCTTTCCATTTCACTAAACATCTGGTTCTAACCCCTAAACTCCTTACTTCCACGGACAATCCCACCCTTTAAATTTTCTTTTTGGAGCATCTTCATATTGTCTCCTACTTTCCTTTTCACACAAGGAAGATTGCCAAGAATATCTGCTTCTCAAAACTTCTCCTTAAAAAGCTTTCCTCTGCTATGACATAAAAAGGAGACAACTCAATGGTGGCTGAACACCTGCTATGCAAAGATGTGCTCCTCTTTCAGTAACCTTATTTGGCATTCCCTTTTCTTCTCTCTCCACATTAGCCACCTTCTGATTACAGAAGGCTCTCATTACATCTTGATTCTGCAAGTTCTCTCTCCTGGTGCTAAAAACTGAAATCACAAAGAAATTACAATCTCTGCTACAACTCTAAATCGGTTGTCCAGCGACTATGTATTTATCCTTTACAAGTTTGCCCATGGCACACTAGAGCCACGGGTAGAATGGAAGCAACAGTGAAAGAATTGTTCCACCTCTATTTTCTTTGAATGCAGTCAAGCACCTGCACTTAAACTTTACAGATAAGAAACCATCTCATTTATGGCCATGTGACATTATGAAAGTTAATGCTTTCATACCTTGTACATTCTGATGTTTTATATTAGAAACCCACTACAAGCCAGAAGCACTTTACATTGGAAAAGCTACTCTAGTTACTTTTAAAACTCATGAAAAGTATTATTAATTTTCTAAGCCTAATATTTAAATTGATTAATGCTGACAGCTTCTTTTGCCAATAAAACTATCACTGAAGGAGTGATGAATTCAGTGTTAATGGGCAAATTAACAACTGGCATGTCTGATGTTTGACTGTCACCAAGAACCACAGAATCACAGAATATGCCAAGTTGTAAGGGACCCCAATAATACTTTATACTGCAGGTACATGAGACTTATTAACAAATAATGCAACGATCTCCACAACTACCTGAAAGGAGGTTGTAGCAAGGTGGGTGTTGATCCTCTTCTCCCAAGTTAATAAGCAGTAAGACAAGAGGAAATGGCCTCAAGTTGTGCCAGGGAAGGATGAGATTGGGTATTAGGAAAAATTTCTTCACAGAAAGGGCTGTGAAGCATTGGAAGAGTCTGCCCAGGAACGTGGTTGAGCCACTATCCCTGTAGGTATTTAAGATGCGCAGATACGGCACTCAGTGGATATGGTTTAAGTGATGGACTTGGCAGTGCTGGGTTAGCGGTTGGACTCAATTATCTTAAAGGTCTTTTTCAACCTTAATAATTCCACGACTGGGTAAGAGGAGAAGGGAAACGCTACAGGGGAGAAAAGTTTGAGATCTACCCCAGTTGAACAATGGCTACAATATTACTCTTTTAACAGGCTGCCAACATTTATGCCACTCCATGAGAGGCTAATATTTTACTTAAGGCATATTTACTGGTAGGGAAGAGTTGGAGCTCTTCACAAGGTACAGAGAGACTTAAAAAAAAATAAAAATCCATCAGAACTGAAATTCACATAGGTTTCATTAGCACCACAGACCTTGTGAAGTTTAACAGACTAAACTCTCATTGGCATTTGAACTTGCATATTTAAAAAAAAGAAGGAACAGATACAATCTGTTGCATCTAGGACTAGCAACACTAGGTTAAGACACAGGAAAAGGTCAGACACATTCAACAAGAGGGAAATAAATGGCAAGGCAATAATATTTCAAGGCATAATTTAAGATATTCACAATTCTACTCAGACCATTGAAGATCCTTCCTTTATCAATAAGAACAATACCATTACCTATTTTTGAAAGACTTAACAGATTAAACAAACACTGACTCAAACTTAACTTTACACCTCCAAATCTTACTGCTGACCTTCTACTAGCTGGTCCAAGGAGGTAATCTTCTTGGAGCCATCAATTGTGTAGATTGTTCTCACTCCCTGGGGCAGATTCACATTGTCGGACAGAGTTCGGGTCAGATCAGCCAGGAGAGCTTCAAAGGATCTAAACCGGTCAGGGGAGATGGCATAAACAATCCCTTTGAAATACCGGTCTCCATTACGATAGAAACGAACTTTCTTGGCTTTTTTCTCGGAACTCAGGGTCTGTAGAGTACGGGTTCGGTAAAAGCTGCAGTGGGCACTGTGAGTAGGGCTGGGTAAACCATTTACCCGGGACCCTCTGCCATATCTCTGCGCTTTATCACGCTCATCAAAATGCTCCAGCTCCATATCTCTCCCAAGGGACATCTTGAAGTTCAACCTAAGGGACGCACAAAAGAAGAGAAAAAGAAACTTAAGACATTTTAAGGGAGCTCACTTTGAGACAATATTACATTACAGAGGACTGTACATTACAGAGGACTACTTTCTAGGTTGAGAAGAATGTTTGAATAAAACCATGCTATATTCACATGGTCCTTTCACACATGCCATAAAACTATTATAAGTTAGACTTTTGTACACCATAGAAACATGACTCATCAAACCAAACTGCTAGTGATATGAAAACATTAGAAGTGTTTGTTCAAATTCAGTAACTCTGAAAATGAGGTGACAAACTTGAGCTACTGGAAAAAAGGAACAAACGCATCAACTTTCTACTTTTTCTCATGTTATATTCAGGTGCTATTTGAGTCTAGTCTACCTTCTAGACAGCTTGCCCCCACTGAACTCTTTGTTCCAACTTCTATATCAAGAAGTGTTGTTTCAGAAGGGCAGCCAGTCGCCAATAAATAAGCAATTAAGAACTTTTCAGATAAATAGATCACGCAGGTTGGCAATGAGAATCAGGACTATCACTTAGTGGGTCAATCCCACTGTTAAGTCCCTGCATATTTCAACCATTGGTTTCCTTACAGCCTAAGCTTTGTAATAAATTACTTCAGTTGTCCTTGTGCAAATGCTTTACACACTCTAAACCAACAGAAGGGCTCAACTGGCATGAAATTAAAGAAAAATATATGGGGGTAGAGAGGAAACTAGTATTTTTCAATGAACAAGCTACTTTAGTGCTCTGTAAGACTTGCAAGATGTATTATTGACATTCTAAGTCTAATATTCAAATTGATTAAGGCTGATATCTTTTTTTTGCCATTACCAAAGGAGGGATAAAATCAGTGTCATTGGGCAGATTAGCAATTGGTGCCTCCCATGCTTGACAATGAGAAAAACCCATCAGCCCTGACCAAAACAATCCCAGTTGTTCAATACAGTTCACATAAATAGACATTCACATGTTCTGAGAAGAAACCAGAGGAAAATACTTCTGTTCCTTTTTACAGCCAACACAAGACTAAATTCTACAAAGAGCACGTTAATCTTCACAAATAGAAGTAAAAAAATAAAATAAAAAAAAATTATCAAAAAATCATTAGGTTCAAAACACATTTATTTTAAGAGCCACCTAGATTTGCAGTTGTCTGCAGAACAGCAAAGTACAGTAAGTTTATTTATAGCACAGATACACAGACCTAATTTAGAAGTGGCCTCTCTGATTGATTTCCAATAAAAAGACAAAAAATGGCAAGCACTAGTTTTGTTTCAACCACTCATAATGATGTGACCATTAAGAAAAAAATTGTATTCAGACCAGTTGTAAAACAGTGGGAGGAAATACAGAAAAACTTACAGTTGCTCTTTGGCTTACAGAAGTTTGTATGAAACTAATGATTATACAACTGGACTCTGATGCTGCAAACCTGTAGCGGATTTGCTCAGCAACTTCTCAGAGCAGCTCATGTGCTTGACTAGCACAAGCACCTAAAGGTAACCACTGCAAATGCAGGGCCTTGGTGGAAATTATTTACCTTGCTTTGGTTACAGCTCACAACTTATTTTATTGCACTGGCACAGGATCATATGCTTACGTGTATATGCAGGATTTATACCTGGAAATACTGTAAAGGCACGTAATAAATACATGGTGCAGTATATGTTTGTGTTTTCTTATATATATAAGAAAAAAGACTAATCTATGTTTTTCCCATACACCCCACTTAATTGAAATGAACAAGAATGTTTGCTGTAGCATTTTGTTGATGTTTCTTTATAGGCTAAATACATAATATACCTTAGTGGCCACAGCTTAGGATCAAGATTGTACCGCCTCTGTTTCCATGTTCAAAAAATGATGTCACTTGTTTTAATTCATTTTCAATTACAATGAGAACCTGTTATTCAGATTTAAACAATCCCATAATGCACAATTCAGAAATTGTATCTCAAAAGCAATGATGCCTGTGCCAAGAAAAATGGATTTTTCCTTGGTCTGCTGCTGCCTTTGCTCAAACCATCTCACACACACACACACACACACAAAACAAAACCAAAAAAAAGAAGTTTAGGTGAAGATATACTTATATACTTTCTTAAGAGGCTTTCAGCTGTACCTATTTTGAATGAGAGAAGGAAGAAGTGTGAGTCACTGCCCTTTCTTCTGCACGCTTATGCTTTAATCAATAGCGCCTGTAATTCCCAATTTCGCCCTTTAAAACAGAAATAGAGCTCCCCTTTAACACCACACTCCTGCTATTTACAGAAAAGCGTGTTCAAACCACAAGGTCAGAGCAGACAAAGAAATCCTAAACAATTTGATCTGATCAGATGTTTCCGTTTGTCTGTGTATAGATATATAGTCGTATACAGGCAGATACGGAAAAACGAACGGACACACCCCTGGAAAACCACCATGCCCAACACTTCACACCCTAACATCTGTTAAAGAATTATTTATAATACAGGTGTGGGTGAGCATTTCCATGAAACAACCACACATGCCGATAAAAAAAAAATACATCACGCAAGGATGTGACTGGGACCCAGTGCAGATCATACAGATACTAAGCAGCAGGACGACTACTAGTCACTGGGGGGAGGGGGGAGCCGGGAAACATGGATAAATGCGGCAGCATTTCACGAATGAAAAAGGGGCTTATAATGCCGGGGTATGGGAAACGTGTTTGAAATCCCCCCAGCCCGCTCGAGGTGGCACCAAGCACTCCAGCCCCGCCGCGGGCTGTGCGCGGCGTGACCCGCACGGTGACCGAGCCGGGGGCGCACGGGGGAGCACCGCGCCCGCTCCCCGGGCTGCCGGGGGCTCCAGGGGCCATCCGGCCGGGATGCCGCAGGGAGGGGAGGCCGGCGGCGGGTACCGCGCCCCCGCACACGCACCGGCACACGCGCGGGGCCGCCCGGGGCCAGCGCCGCGGCGTCGGCCGAGGGCCGCGCCGCCCACACAATGGGCACAGGTGGCACGCACCGCACTGCCCCGCACCGCCGGCCACCGCGCCCCGGCGGCCCCGCACGCGGCAGCCCCACCGCGCAGAGAGAGAGGGCAGGGACGGCCGCCGGCCCTTACCTGTTCTCCGCAGCCCTGGCGGCACCTCCTCGCTCAGACTGCCGGCGGGGCGCGGAGGGAAGGCGGCGGCTCGGAATGGGAAGCGGCAGCGGAGGCTCCCCCCGGCGACCCACCCGGCTGCAGGCGCAGTAGTTGCCGCAGAAAGCGGCTCCACTGCCCTTTGTTACGCCTCCCCTGGCTGTAGCGCGCTGCTGGGGAGCCCGGGCTGCAGCTGCTTCGCCTTTCTTCTGCTGCTGCCGGTTGCTGCTGCCGGTTGCAGTGATTTGCATTAGCCCGGCCCTCATTGAAATGCGGCTCTTCACACCAGCCTCTCCCAGGCGCTCTCCAGAGGGCGGCGCCGCCGCCGCTCTCTCCCCCTCTCTGTCTCCCTCCGGTTGCGGCCCCGATCTTCCATCGGCGCTGGAGCCGCTCTGGGCAGCGCGCCCTGCCCGCGGAGCGCGGATGCCAGGGTAGCCCTCCCGGGACCAGCAGGCTCTCCTGGGGCGGAATTTCTGGTCGCACCGCGGGTAGCCGCCCGCCCGGCGCCTCCCTCCGCCCCGGGGAGACCCGGCCAGCGAGACGTGCCCGATCGGAAGATGCCGGTGCCCGAGGTAGGGCCGTGCCTGGCGGGGCCAGCTGGCCCGGCGTCCAAAAAACGCCTTGAGAAGTGATTTTACCAAATGTGTGAGTTGGCATTTCCATGAAGCTTGCCTTCAGTCCCCAAAGCCCCATGACAGGGTTTGGGTGCTGAAGGTGGGACTGATGTGGAATTTAGGTACGAAAACCAGTGAAGCCATGCTTATTCACACCACTTGCTTAGCTACAGCTGACCTCGGAGGTGACTAACATCCACAGTTGCTACAGTTTTTATGCTTAAATTTCCCAGAAGCTGTATTTGCCCGAGGGCGTCTCGGGCTTCATCTGACTGAGTCACTCCTCTTATGGCCTTAGCCCCTCCGGTCTTGGAGCATGTTTGCTAAGGCAACCTCCACACAAAAATTCAGCCATAGGTGATGCTTTCTACTCACAGGCTTGGTTGTTCTTCACTTTAATGTAAAAATCTCAGTGGTTAAAACATTCTCGAGGTGAAGGATCTGGTTCGTTGTTTGTGCAACAAAGACTTCAACTCTCTTTTTGTCAGGTAAACAGCCCATGCATAGTCCAGGGGGACATGGAAGGGAAGAAAACACAGTCTGTCCCTTCTGTTGAAGCTGCTACACTTTGAAAGAATTAAAAATGCATTAGATCAGAGAGAGGGAATTCGTCTATAACCTCATGGTTTATGGCATTCATTTGGGAAGGACAAAAGATGGATTTGTGTGTCTGTATTACGGACAATTTATATGTTTTATATCCATAAATCCAGAGACAATCAGTGGAGCAGGGACTTAAGCCCAGGGTGCCCTGCTCCCATCTATTCCTCTAATCAGAATAGAGGCTCCTGCTTAATCTGTCGGAAGGCAAATGAAGCCTTCAGTCTACAAAAAGTGTAAGACGCTCAAAAGAAGAAAGGGAAGGAGCACACCCTGTCTTTCCTTTTTCCCCTTGAGTAGTCCACATATAGGCTCTTAGGAGACAGGAGATTCCCTAAAGGAGAAAAACTAATTGTTCTCTGTCTTCATCATCCTGGAGAAGTTCTTTAATCACTAAAGTATAGAGCAGAGACAGGAGTCTTCTGGCTACACTTTTTTTATTAGGTTAGTTTTTTTTTTTTGAAAGGGAAATGAGCACCTAAAACCTTCAGAAAAACCTCTGCTCAAGGAAATAACAGCATTAAAATACCTGAACATCAAAAAGATTCAGAATTCAATGTACCACTCTGTCCTCAGCACACTCTAACCACCTAGCTTAGTATTTGTAGATCTTGTTCTAAGGAACTTAATTCTTGGTTTATGGTCAATGGGTGCAGAGTCACTTTACCATAA